CCTCCCCTGCTCACCCCCTTCGCCGCCAAGAGTTTTGGTGTTATTAGTGAAAGTTCCTTGCAGCCTTTTGGGCGCTGTGGCTAGCCTGCCGCTGCTCATTTGCACTGCCACCAGCATATGCTTGCCACTCTCCTATCATCGCTACTCTCTAAGTGTGTTGGTGTGTGCGTGTCTGCTTGTTCATGCCTTGTTTACGCTTTAATGTCTTGGCTTAAAAATGGCGACAGATTTATTTGCGAATTTCACTGTCTTTTTACTTCTCCTGTTGTGTTTTCGTCTCCGTTTATCAGTTGCTCCGTACGCAGCAACATTTCCCACCCTCCCACTCATTCCGTTACTTCATGTGCTTGTTGGCAACTCCTTGGCGTCGACAGTTGTCTTTAGCGTTGCATAATTAAAAAAGTTTCATTTCACTTCAATTTCTTGTTGTTGTTGCTTGGTTGGTCGCTTGCTTGCTTCGTTTATTTGTTCTATGTCAGTGTTTCTAGGTATGTCGCTTAGCTTTGTTGCCTCGGTTTTTGTTATGTTTCTTCTTGTTTTTGGTCAATGTCGCATTTAATGTCAGAGTTTTTCAGCTTCGTCTAATTTCACTTTATTACCGAGGCTTGTGTTCGTCGAATGAGGTTAGGCAGATTTTGGAATAAATTTGTGTCAGAATAGAATTTCAAACGGGAATTTTTAGTAGGTGGTAAGTATTATGACTGCCTACATGACAACATGATATATAATATTATAGTAAGAAAACATTTCAAAAGCCTCTTCAAAAGCAAATTTTTCCGCTTCTTCTTTTTTTGACTTGAAGTGGAGATAACATCAAACTAGTTATAAAATTCTGACCTGGACTACTGTATAAGCGCTTATGGTCCACACCCGGAGCAGTTCTCAAAATCATTTCGAATATTTGTTTAGAGAATTCCAATAGATGTTGCTAGAAGTTAGAAGAGATAATTCAGATCCCGAATGTCTCTTCATGCCTGCCTAATAAAGCTTTTGTGCCTTTTTTAAATTGCTTTCGTAAGCTTTACATCTTTCGTGAGTAAATAGTAGTGACTTTATTGTGTTCAAAACCGTATAATGTTTTATAGAGAACTACAATAGATCTTTGAAAACGTATAGAGCTATATCAGTTTCAAAATTTATTCTAATTTTCATAAGCTTTGTAAATAGCTTTCACAAGCTCCCTAAACGAGTTCGGGAAATGGTAGTAGTGACTTGTTGTGTTTATTTCCCTAAGCGGTTTTTCACTTGGATCCAAAGTCTTTCGTTTGTGAATTCTTCTTTTTTTGCTGCTATCTTCGTTCCTTTTGTAGTAATCAGAATAGTATACAGTTGCTTACGCTCTTACGGCACCTGTTAAGCCTCTGACAACCCATGCTCCACTAGATCCCGATTAGGTTTAAGTTTCAAGACCTTCTTTATTTTTATACGTGTGTTTTTCGTATCAAATAAATTGACACATAATTTGAAGAATTACTTCTTGTGCTTCTAAAGTATATAAAAGACTTTCCATAATCGCAGTTTTCTTAAGTTGCTTCACGTTTGGCAAGCATTTTAAAATTGTTTGCTTAGTTTTACATTTTAGTTGGCAACTCCATTCCAAAATTCAGATCAATTGGCGACTTTCTTTATAATTACCTGAAAACATTATATATGACAAATATTTTCCTTTTTTTGTGGCTACTTCAAAAAAATGACATATTAAACTCCTTTCAAATACTTTTCGTTTGATACCCATTTTGTTTGGCTTTGCTTTGTTCGAATGTTGATATTTTGGTTCTTCTTGAATTGTGTTGAGATCTTTATCTCGGGAACATATTGATATTACTGAATGAAGTTTAGTCATGAAAAGCTCTCTGTGAAGAGTAGTTATTGTCTCCAAATTTGAAATTAAATGGGCAAGCAGTTCGAAGTCATCGGACAACATAAAAACCAACAAATCTTCAGCCTAGTATACCATAGAATATATATATCATTATGGAATAGTTTCGTTTTTTAAAGCTATTCATCTCATTTTAATAATTTTGATAAATAGTTCAATTATATCATTTGAGTGTGTTCATGATGGCTTACTAAGGAAACCTAAATCTGAGTACGGTGTGGAGTTAGTTCGAAAGCTCAAACATAGAAGGGGTTGCGCTAGTCATGTTCCAGGGAGACCAAATGCTCTTCAATATTCTACAATATTTGATTAAATTTATCGAAAACTTAAAGAATTCGTCAAACTCAAAAACGCGTTGAGTGAATCCTAATAACACCACAACATGCAGTCAGAAATCAACTTCAGCCAATAAAGATGTTGGCTTGCATAATTGACAAGCCAACCAGACACATTAGAATCGGGTGCGAGAGAACATGCAATGCGTACGAAGTATGACGCTGCACGGTGAATTCTGATGCGACGGTTGTTATGCGTGGGCGGTTGTTATGAGGGCGCAAGGTGGATGGAGTGCAGTTTATGAATTTTTCAGATTCATATCTGTGAAAACAATAACGAAATGTGATTTTCGGTCGAGAGCTGGGCGCATAAGTACGAGAGTAATACAAATGCAGTGGCACACACATATTCAACTGTATGTTTGTACCAGTTGTGGCTCTGCAACTGGCAGAGCTGCCATTGCGTCCGTTTGTATTTATAACGGTGCGTGTGGCTCGGCGTTGGATTCCTTAGTCACACTTCAACATTTCCGGCATTGCAATTCGCAAACGCGCTGTGTGAGTATATGCGAAATGATACTATGCGCTTGTAGTGGTGTTTGGATGTGTGTGTGTGTGTATGCGCGCCACAAATTGCCACAAATAAAAGGGAAATCAACGGAATTTCGAAACATTTGAAAATTTTATGTCTTCATTTTCGGTTGCAAAAATTTCAGAATTTTATATGAGCAGAAGGACGGGCGTATGCGTGTGTGTGTGTTGGCTTGCATGACTGCCACATTGTCTCCTTCGACACAATTCAAATTTCAGTTTCAATGTGGCGCGATATGTTGCAGGTGTGGCGGCGATGGTGTGGGGTGTTGGCGGAATGGCTTGTGCATATTTCGCGTTTTATGTTTGGGGTTAATTTAATGATTTTGCAAGTTCATTGCGCGCAACCAAATGTGTTGCAGCGTCGCTCTTATGCTGTATGCTTTTGCTTAGCGCAAATTTGCAACCGTGTCTGGGGTGGTGGGGGAGAGGAGTGATGCACATAGAAAATCCATAAATTCATAAAATAATTGTGTTGCGCCATGCATACGGGAATGCGTTATGGATGCCCCCAAACGTGGCGTGAACGCATTTGCAAGGCTTTGTATGTGTGCAAATGTGAATGGGCGGCAAGCTGGATAAGTTTGCGCATTTTTGTTAGGAAAATTGTTGTTTGGCTAGGTAATATATACTTTTGGCTCTAAAGATATTTTACCCAGGATTTTTATAGCTTTTCAACTTGGACCCTTAAATTTTTTTCTCAAGCTTCTCAAATTTTACGCTTTATTTGTGTAGTGGGCTTTTTATGTATCTTTGCACTTCACTCATATTCACAGGCCTGGAAACGTTGGCGTTGCATGCATCCCGCCTGTTTGGTAAAATTCCCCAAATGAGCGGGAATTTTGCTTACAAATTCATAAATCTTGAATATTCCTCAGCAAGAAGTCAAATCTCAACTATTTTCATATAATTTGTCCCCTTAAACTTATAGTTATAACACCTTGTTTAACTGAAAAGACGTTCGTTTCGACTTTGTGTGAAGTTCATATGAAGTAATCCACTATTTTCAGGGTTCTTGACGAACTTGATCAACTGTGAAAGCTATAGTTTTGTCCAAAACTATGAAATGTCCCGAATTGTTTTTGGAATCGAGAAGTGTAGGTTGGTACATCTAAAGTACAAAGGCAAAATTTGATTGTGGTAAAAGCTAAGTGACGTGCCACACCGACCGGATGAAATAATATGATTTTACAGGTCCATATCTTTATTTTCCGATCACCGTCTGAAGTTTATTATGCCGCTTAAACTATAAATATTAGTTAAGGAGGCGCTTACTGCTGAGGTTCCACAGAAACAAGAAAAAATGTGAACTTCGGCTGATCCAACGTCATAATACTCTACCCAGGTGCAGTTCTTGTAAAAAATATAAAAAATCTTTAATTTGCTTTTGATTTGTATGGTAGCTATATGCGATATTGGTACAATATATACGGTGATTGCAAAATTCCTTTGATAATAATCCATGACAAATTTCATGAAGGTATCGCTCAAATATAAAAATGTTCCGTACGACATGGTTTTGATCGTTCAGTTTGTACGACAGTTATATGCTATAGTGTTTCGATATCGGCGATTTCGATAAACAAGCAGCTTCTTGAGAAGAAATGGACGTGAGAAAAATTTCAGTTTGATATCTGATGAGAACTGAGAGACTAGACTATACAGACGGACATGGCTAAATCGACTTTGACGATGCTTTCTGGGTGTTAAAAACTTCGTCCTCCGTTAAGACATCTTCAAGTTATTTTAAAATTTTGTTAGATGCTTGTTCACCGCTTTTATTAGTTACTTACTACGATCTTCCAAATCCACTAACTTATCCAACAGCACTCGTATGTCAGCTCAGCTCACATACACATGTTGCATAGTCATCGTCACTTGCAACAACTGCAGCAACGCGCGCTTTGTTTAGATTTTGTCGGCGAATTTTATACATACACCCACACCCACACCCACACCCGCACATACACAGCAAGTTATAATAAATGCGGCGCGTAGTGAAATTTCAGCAGGAAAAACCTACCAGTTTGGCTGAGCGGCTGTCGGTGCGCCGTGCGGTTACACAATTTATGGCGGCGTTGAATGGTTATTTCGCGCGCTGTAAATTCTAATGCTTACATTTTTACAGCTATGCAATTTCAGGCACATAATTCATGCAACACTATCCATTCACGCTTGTAATTAATTAGTTTTAAGTTGCAGCCAAAAATTAGCTTTCATCCATTGATGCATTTCGAATTTATTCTCGTTTTCAGGCAAAAGCTTCACCCTGAGCATTGTGATATCGACCAATCCCATACAGATCGCCACCTACAACAAAGCGATCAAGGTGACTGTGGATGGTCCGCGAGAGCCACGCTCCAAGGTGCGACATCCAGGTTTTCATCCGTTTGCCTTCGGACCGCAGCGTTTCGGACCGGGTGATCCGTTAATGGGTGGACTGCCTTTTAAGTTTCCAGGTAAATACATACAATATATAATATTGTGAAGATTTTCTGTCGTGTATTCAGGAATGTATGTAGATGATAAAAGAACTTCAAGGTTTGAACTACTTTCGGGTTAAACCAAATTGTTCTCTAAGACTATTCTCACCTTGGAAATCACTAAAATCCAATTTTGATATTTTCTAAAATTATTGTGTTTTCTGAAAATCAAGCATAACCTAACATTTTTTATAAGGTATATATAAATAATGCAAATGGGATGTAGTGCGATTTTACAAGGCAGATTGGGAATCTAACATATATAAAGGTACACTGAGTAATTTAGTACTTTTACTCTCTATATACCTAAATGTGCGCTGAATTTTTCAAGAAACGTACGCATAAAACTGAAATATATTATACCACAAATCTTCAACAAGCCCGAAAGCTTTTTCAAAATACTATAAATAGCTTTTATTGTTGAAAACTTTAAACCCAAGCTTAGTATTGATTTCACTTCTGTCAATTTAGCGTCTCTTTCCAATGCTCGCTTTGGGTGATTCAGTGAAATTTCACGCCAATCAGCAGTCGATTATCCGCTTTCATTGTATCATGTCAGGGATTTGTTGATGCCAGCGGCAAGAAGGAATGTTATCACTTGTTGTTGCTGGTAAAACTGTTGCTTCCCAACGCTGAGGGGATACTTTGCATATACAATATATACATATATATATGCGGCGCTGCGTTTGCCACTTTGTTGTTATCAAGCTTGCTTTCAAACGCATTATGCGGATAATATTTAAAGTGGCTTGCTTACGTAACAACCTACCAGGCTACTAAGGCTCTGCAGCAACACAATTAGCTTTGCATGAAAAATAGCTCAAGGCGCTGGCAAGTTGCAAAGTATTAAATTACTGTAAAATAGGCAAACAAAGTCATCGGCTAAGTAAATCATTAAAATTCATTTACGAAATGTTTGAGGCTGATTTTGTGCGGATTTGGAATTGAAATTTGCCTTTAGCGAGCGCAGTTTTGGGTAATTTTATGTACAAAGTGTGTAAGCTGTATTGAATTAGGCCTCTTCGATACGTCATTTCTTTACTTGCTGTAAGAGAACTGTGTTCGCTTTCTTTGAAAGTTTTTTGTAAAAAAATTCTGCTTATGAAGCATAAGAGTACACGAGAGCATCTGAATACCTCACTAAAGTGGCATGACCGCTTGCTATTCGTTTGTCTTATGTATTTGATTATGCAAGTTTGTGTATTAGTTGTATATCAGTTTCTTGTTCGATTCGTCACTTCTTTGCTTCTTGAACAATGAGTTTGCTTGAAATTTTCTGTTTCCAATGAAGTCACGGCTACGAAATAGTTGCAAATGTTGCAGCGATTCTCAACATTTCTTATGTATCGAGTCAACTTATTTTGGTTTATGTTTTTTGTATGAAGGGTGTCAAAGTTAGACTCGTACCAAATGACCTGAATCTTTTGCAAAAACGATGTCGAGTAGAGGTCGCAAAAGAAATGCTTTAAAGCGTCGCTGAGGACCCTACATGCAATAAACGCAACACTGATGATGACGAGAAGTGGGTTTATGAATACGACGTCAAAACTGTCCAACGCTCCATTGAATGGTGCTCCAAAAATGAGCCGAAACCGAAAAAAATAAAATTCGCTGAAGCCACTGAAGGTCATCCCAGCCGATCTTATAACAGGTGTATATAAAATTTTGAAAGCGATAATAAAGATTTGTATTAAAACGCGTGAAAATACACAATTTTTTTATAAGTGTGGGTCATATTAAATTCAGTTGGTATACCAGTGGTCTGTTCGATTCGCAACACTCTAAATGCTGGCGAACCAAAGACAGCTTTTGTTTGCTATCAAGAAATGGACTTAGCTTCGAAAATTTGCTTTTATGGTACTGGCTGTGTAGCTTATTGAGGGCAGAGGTAACATTTAATCCCATATTATACTCCAGAAATGTTAATAAGGTATAAGAGGAATTCTCAGCCGTCAAAAAACTATTGAAATATTGATGAGAAAAGAGTTCTCAAGAGCTTTCAAGCTTCTGTCACTTGTCAATTTTAAAATATTTCTCATCCCCTACTCTCCCGTACCCTCTCAATTGTCTCAAGTTTATGAAATACACATCTGAAAATGTTCACACTGTTGTTTCACAGCCTCTTTATTGACATCGAACTATACCGTTAAGCCCGAAAAGCCATTCGCTTTCCAACTTCTCTCGGCAAAGTAATAAATTTACGCTCTTTAACAATTTCTTCCACCAGCCTTCGACAGCATTGTAATTATTAAGCCTTGTTGCAACAAAATTGTGCCAAGCTTGGAACTGCCGAAGCATACAATACACTCACACACACTCACATACTATAAACACTTCGCCGTCGTCTTATTAAAGGATTAAACATTTAAATGGATTTTATGAGCGCTGTCTTCAGCATCACCACCTTATTTAGGTTGCATATGCTGTCACACACACTTATTCGCACATAATCACACATACTCGCGCTACACATTGCCGCCGGGTGCTCCTTGTTTCGTCGTCTTTTGTTATTTTAATCGCTGTTGTGCATTTTGCTGTTGTTTTCCTTGCTATTTGCTTTATTATTTTAAGTGCTGTTGTTGTTATTGCTTCTGGCAACTGGTTGCTGTTGCCAGTGATTATAGCTGATGACTTAAGTGTATGCAGTGACATCATTTCGTTGATTATTATTGAGCCAAGTGACGCGAGTTTGGCGGCTGGGAAGAGCGCCCCGCGATTTCGTATTGTTTTGAAGCATTGAAAGCGAAATTTTCTTAAGTAATGTATTGAATTCTTTAAGTTAAAGCTTTTGAAAGCTGCTGCATCAAATTAAGATGAACAGTTCATCTTTAGCTTTTGAATTTTTTGGTTCTTCAGAGATTTCGATTCCTCGGCTATAATAAGAAAAAAATGAGATTCAGTTTAACATTAAGTCTAGCATGTTTCAGCCGATACAGAATCTTAAGGAATGCCGAAAGAAGACCGTAGTAAAGTTAGTGTGAAATAGATTTTTAGAACATTTTCAAATTTCATTCTTCTTAAACTATAAATGAAGCCTTAGAGTCTGGTCAATATGAAAAATCGAAACTAGACCTGTTCAGAAGTTAAACTGTTTCGACTCGCAGATTATTTCCGTCTCTTTTTTCAGTTTTTAACTCTATTTTAGAAATCGTCACTTCTCTCGTTTTCGTATTTCTTCCAAAAGAAGCCAACCTAAACACAGGAGATGAGCCTAACTTTTAGAAGTGGAAATCTATAATTGTCGTAGAATTGTGGAGAAGTCGCATCAAAGGAGATAGACAGAGAGCGCAGTCTTCAGATTTACAGAAAAACATTTCTATCTATCTAAGCTATCTAGCAAAGCTAGGGCAAGTTTCGGATGAATATTTGAGAGTGAAAGAGAGATGGAGAGAAGAGAGAGAGAGAGAATTCGAAGAACTTGCTGAGCGAAAGAAGGAAAAGTTAGAAAAAAACACCTAATCTCTCTGACTGACTGGATGGGAATTCACTTACACTAAAGCATATAGAGCTTCAGGCAGAAATCTTCATATTAAAAGCAATTTCGAATGGAAAGCTATTTCTTAGACTTTTCTAATTTTTATATAACTTTAGAGGGTTCGGCTTTATATTCTTCGTTTGTAACACGAGGAAATATCCGGTTAAGTTGGACTTTGTTTTTAATGTTTGTTATTAATTTCCGCAAGTTTTAATGCGGTAGAAATAGTATGTGTCGTAATTTATTTGTGTTATATCGTTTACTTAGCGGTGTATTCATGCTTATTAGAAAACTTTATCCGCATTTGTATACCTACATAGTATATGTATATATATCTTTAATACCGTTAAGTACAACCCATTAGTGATATGTCTTTTACTTGCTAAGATCCAAGATGGCGGATGATGGGAAGGTATTAGAGAATATACTCAGCCACACATATGTACATACATACAATTATGTCTGAAACAGAAATAAATTTATGCTTGTAATTATGTTGAGTCATATATAAACGTAGTGATAGTCATATGAGTATAAAACATGTAGCAGCTCCTGCTTCACACTTAGATATACATACCTATGTATACAGTAAGTAACGCACTACACCGTGTGTCTAAAAAGTACAGAAGAGAAAAGTTTGACGTTTTTAGTGAAAATTACATTAAAATTTTCCACTTGAAAGACTCTTTGTTATGAAAATTGTTAGCACTTTCCTTCAAAAGAGTTCACACGGTTACACAGACAATATGTATACCGACTTGTACTTGCTCATTTATGAAAGTAATTTTATATGCATGATCTCCATAACATATATAAATTAGTATATGTGCATTTATGTACATAAGAACCCAGTAGGAAATTTCCAAATACGTTTTCTGAATTAGAATACACTTTTAGAACAAATTATTATTGCTAGAAAATCATTTAATAAAGTGAAAAATAATTAATTTTAAGTTAATAGTATTAGTAACTAATAAGCGGTACCAAGCTACAAAATTTTCCACTTTCCTTTTGCGTTAACTTTACTGCGATTGCCTTGTGCGCCTTAAAGTGGTTATACATATGTAAGTAATAGGCTCGATTAACCATAAATATTTGAAATGAATGTGGAGTCCCGAAATAGCAATGTTCAAGTCCCGAAATTTCGGGATTAATAGCTGATTACTCATTTAATATACTAGAGGCAAGATTCGAAGTAACTAAAAAATGTGTTGGGCAATACCGAAATTTCGGTATTGAAAAGCAGTGCAGTATTATAAATTTAAAAAGTTAAAAATATATGGTTTTTTAACTCAGTTTGAATAAAATAATTAAATTAAAGTGATACAATTTGTCGAGAATACCAATGGGAAGAACCCGGAATATTAGGATAACGTATAACTCACGATTAAATAGATATGAACAAGTTTGAGAGAGTAAACGTAAATTCGTTTGTAAAAAAAAAAAATCGGGATTTTTCGGGATTTCGGTGATTTATAACTTTAAGTGCTAGAAAATAAAT